CTCCAACCCATGCCCCAATGAAGGTGACACAGATTGGTGCCGAGGAACACGAGTGCCTGTGGATATTGATTGTGGAACTTGCAGCTAGTGATGTAACCTTGGTAAATCAGGCAGGGCATCCAGTCAGGAACAGAGGAGATGCTGAAGTTAAGGAAGCACTCCACTGGAACTGCAAGATTTGGGTACATGGCTTGCCGGAACTTCTGATAGGCGTGAGGCCGGAGCACACCGTGACAACCGGAGCTGATGTAATGACAGCCAAGACAGGCACTCGGCAGGACTGTAGAGCCAAAACTGGAACTGGAAGCGTAGTCAGAGGTTCAGCAACGAGCAGGCGATGAGGTACCAAAACATCAGACAGGGACAAGGTCAGGGGGAAGCCGGGATCAGAAACCGATGAGCAGAAACAGGATCCAAGAGCAGGTCAATGGCAAGCCGGGTCAGTAACTGATACATACAGGGTACAACAGGAAACAGGAAGTTAGCTGAAGTCCAGTCAGCACTGATAGAGAGTAAGAGCTTCCTTTAAATTAGTCCTGTCTGGCACCAGAAACAGTGGGCACGCTCCCGCGTGTGTGCACCAGCCTATGCTCATAGCTAATAGCCAGTTGCCGTACAGGAATTCCCTTACGCCCTCCGTCCAATCAACTCTCAGATCTCTCCTCGCTGAGCTCAGCAGAAGTGTAAATTCAGCTCTCTGCCCCCTTTTTTCTGACAGCTCAGACAAGCTCTAAAAATTCTGGACTTCACACAGATATAGAAAAGAGAAGACTACAGATAAGCAGGTACAACTTATGTAGAAGGATTTAATCAAAATTTGAAAACTAAACATTGAAATACATACTGATTGTACAGCTTGCAGGCTCAGTTTTCTATCCAGACATTACTGTAGTTCTGTGTTTCTCAACTTCAACCCAGCAGCTTGTTTTCAGGATTTCTGTTAAATCAACTGCATTCGTTTTTGTGTCTCAGCAGTGCAGACAGACCGTTAACAAGTCACCATCTTTAATACTCTCTCTTTTATACAGCACTATTGTTTTTTGTTTAAATATGTGCAATAAACAAGCATATTTTCTACAATACTCATATCCTCAAATAAAAATTAAACATTAGTTAAATAAGTGTCCTTTGTGCTTCAATAAAGTCTCTCTGTGCATATAAAGTGTCCAAGTGCTTTCAGTTATTCACAGTGCAGACAGACCTATCACAGGTGAGTCATACAGCGCTTCGTATCATGGATAACCACCATCAGCCTTCTCCTTCTTGGGCCAGCTGCACTACTTCCTTTTGTCTCACACATGTAGGGAGAGATGGAGGGAGACTACCATAGTGTGAAATCTTTAAAACCTTTTATTCATGAAAAAACATTTCCACAATGCCCACTCACATTGTTAGGTGCATACCCTTGCAACAGGATAAAAATGCTTGTTACATCATAAGCACAGGGAGAACTTAGATCTGGCTCTAGGCTCTCTCACCTCCACCTTCTCCTGTATTAACCACTTTCGGTGTCACTGTGTGGGTTGATATCCCTTCCTGCTATGCCCCGACACGGCTTTTCATCTTCCTCAACAGGCACCATCTTTAATAATCACAAACCTCCCTCTCCAACTTTGCCCACTATCTCTTCCAGCTCTTAAAGCAGAAATGCCAGAACAGTTTTACAGAACTTAACAAATACACACCATCCCCCCTCCCCCCTTAATTACACTTCAAATCTTAGGTGTCTATGTAACTTTTTTTAGGGTCTTACAGACTAAGTTCACCAGTGCCACACTTCTGCAGACTGTCAGTGTAGCTTTCTGCCCATACCTCATACTGGCAAACAGTTACTGAATTGCAGGAAGACTCAGTGAACTGCTAGAGCGCTCACCAGCACACCAGCACCCTCGTAGTTCATTGAGAACTGCAAGCCGTTAGCTGCAATGGTAGACAGTAATTGTAATTCTCCCATGCACAGAGTGGTGAATGAATGACGTGGCCATGGGAGTCGAACCCGCTGTTTTCAAATTGTGACAGCTGGTGCGTGGAGAAGATCCCGCGCCAGCTATCACCATAGGGGGGTGCTGATTTAGTAACGTGTGACACGTTATATACAGGTGTAACACATAACATGTTCTGAAAGGTGAACTTATTCTTTAACTCTACCAAGTTCCATTCCCCAGTATTGAGAGTGGGAGTTGTTGTCCAGGATTCCAGATGTTTGTGGCTGTGGTGTAGGGCTAGGTGCATCATCACAAGTAAGCCAATTAGAAGAAGTGTCCTGTCCAAACAGGATCTTAAACAGGTACAGCCTGCTTACATGCCAAGTTGATCCATCCTCCAGCCTATAGGTTACTGATTTACTGATTAGATAGACTGGGGTTAAACTTTGACTTGGTTATCCTTATCCTCACCTGCTGGCCAGGAATGAGGGTAGTTGTCTTGGAGTTTTCTTTTTGTATCACTGTAAGGTTTTGCTTGGCACTTGTACCTCTCCAATCTAGTGCACAGGTTTTGGGGTTCTGCTACCTTTTTTTGTGCCTTCAAACCTATGAGTGGCGTTCATGGATAATGATCTATCATCAGTTTGCAGGCAATTTCTCCAGTGGCGCTATGAGGAGCTGACTTGTAGTAGCAGCACAACAGTTTTGTGGAAGAGGTGTCCCTCGTGCAGATGTGTCTTTAGGCCAGTTTTAAATGTGTGGATAAAATGTTACACACCTCCACTGGCCTGTGGATGGTATTGTGGTGTTAAAACAGAGCTCCAGTCATTTTTGTGTTTTATAAAAGTCAGCAGCTACAAAAACTGTAGCTGCTGACTTTTAATAAACACACACTCACCTGTCCCAGGGTCTAGCGATGTGCTCACCCGCGCCATCTCTTTTCTCCGTTATGCCGGCATCTCAGCTGTGGACACCAGGCTGTGACAACTTGCGGCTTCAAAAGCCGGGTGCCCACTGTGCATGTGTGAGTCGCACTGCGCATCCTGATTGGTCCAGCAGTCTTCTTGGACCTGTGAAGTGTCCCAGAAGATTTCGGGGGGAACTCCACTTTAGAATATACTTTTTTCCCATTGATTTAAGGAAAGTCTCAAACTCTTTTTGAAATAAATTGTGGACCTTTGTTGGTATTGATTTCCAGTGGTAGTCTCCACCTTAAGAACCATCCCTCCAAGGTGGTGATGACAACTTTTTAGTGCTCATGACTTCTGCTGTAGCCACCTGTGGCCATTTTGAGTACAAATCTTAACCTATCCAACAGTATCTTTTGATGTTTTGGTGTTACTTTAATCACTTGCCTTCTTCAATACGTATATATACACTTCCGGTCCGGGACGGATGTTAACAATTTTTTTAAAATCTTTTTCATCTTTTGCACCAAATGAGAGATTTGGTGCCTTTCTGACCCCAGAGATCTTCTTAAAGAGGACCTGTCATCCTTATTTCTATTACAAGGGATGTTTACATTGCTTGTATTAGGAATAAAAGTGATAAAAAAAAATAAAGGGAGAGTGTAAATAAAAATTAAATGTATAAGAAAAAAATAATAAAGCGCCCCCATCCCTCTGTGCTCACGCACAGAAGTGAATGCATACGTAAGTCGTGCACTCATATGTAAACGTGAGATATCACTGCGAACATCAGAACGAGAGCAATAATTCGAGCACTAGACCTCCTCTGCAACTCTAAACAGGTAACCTATACAAATTTTTAAAGCATTGCCTTTGGATATTTTTGTAGAAACCATAGTTTATAGCCATTCCACGAGCACGTGCAATTGTAAAGCATGACCGGTATCTATTTACTCACAGTAACATCATCGTTCATATTTTACAAAACATTGGGGTATATATTGTTGTTTTTTTTTATTAATTAAAGTGTAATTTTTCTGAAAAATTGTGTTTGAAAAACCTCTGCACAAATACCATGTGACATAAAAAATTGCAACGATCGCCATTTCATTTTCTAGGGACTTCACTAAAAGAATATACATGTAATGTTTGGCGGTTATAAGTACTTATCTAGCAAAAAATACTGATTTAAACTTGTAAACAAATAGTGCCAGAAAATGCTGACTTCACATACTTTTAATTGGATCGTATTCTATAGGCCTTTTTGGGAAATGTCTAACTTGTAATGGAGCAGCTGTTTCTTCTGATTTTTGCCACTGAGCAAGCATGGTTCGCAATTGTGAACTACATTTTCTATTCTGTTCGCTATACCAGGCCATACTGCTCTCTGTTATGTTGTTTAATCCATACTACACACATATGACCTTCATCAGCCATTTTTAAAACTGTTTGTCTCAATGCAGTTGGAATTACTGCTCTGTGTCCTCTTAAAAGACAAACTTTTCATCTCTTCATCTCTGATGCCTGTTGAGGAGAATCTCATTGGGTGGAGCTTTGACGTTATCACACATGCTGGCAGGTCCTGCATCAATGCTTGTTGCCATCTGTATTCTGCTTTCTGTAATGTGCATGGCTTTTTACTGAATAAATCTGTAAGTGATTTTAAACACTACACCATGAGCTCTGATCTGGGTTCTTTTGCTCTATTCCTAAGATCCGCTCTGGAAAAAGACCGCGTGGATGTTTTGAAGTAGCACAATATGATGACACTTGAACAAAAATGAGCTGCTTGGTCAAGGTGCCAGAAAGAAGACTTTAGTGCATTAATGACACAAAACGGCCTGGTTAAGCATGTCAAGGTCTTGTCAGACATATTGTAAGTGGGCTTTTTTGTGGCATTGGTGCAGTAAAAGCTTCTTTCTGGCACCTCGACCAAACATCTCATTTTTGTTCAAGTATCACCGTATTGTACTCCTTAACCACCTCCTGCCTGCCATATAGTACAATGATGGGCGCAAGGTGCTTCTCTCATTCTGGGTGAACGTCATATGACGTCGTCCCATTCTAACCGCGCATGTGCGGCTCCGAGAGTGCGCAGCGCGGCGATCAGTGGTGCGCTGTGTTCCTCGGACACAGCGGATCACCAATCAACGGAAAGAACCGAAGATGTCGGCTCGGTCATGTGATCAGCTGTGTCCAATCACACCTGATCACATGTAAATAGGGAAATGCCAGTTATCGGCATATCTCTCCTCACGCGCTGTCACGCTAACAGCTCGAGAGGAGAGCAGAGCTGGTAATCGGCATCCCTCAGAGGGGACATGTGCACTGATCATCAGGGAACTGATGATCAGTGTGCCCTGATGATCTGTGTAGCCCCACCAGTGCCACCTGTCAGTGTCCATCAATGCAAACTGTCAGTGCTCATCCATGCCACCTACCAGTGCCACATCAATGCCACATATCAGTGCCCATCTGAGCTGCCTTTCAGTGTCACCCATCGGTGCCAGTCAGTACCACCTATCAATGCCAGTCAGTGCTGCCAATCAGTGCCACCTATCACTGTCAGTCAGTGCCGCCTATCAGTGTGCATCAGTGCTGCCTATTAGTGCCGCCTAACAGTGCCAGTCAGTGCCGCCTATCAGTGCCAGCTATCAGTGCCGCCTATCAGTACTGCCTTTCAGTGCCCATCAGTGCATCCTCATCAATGCCCATCAGTGCCACCTATCAGTGTCCATCAGTGCAGCCTATCAGTGCCCATCACTGCAGCCTCATTAGCGCACAAGGAGAAAATCACTTATTTACAAAATTTTATAACAAGAACTAAGAAACTTTTTTTCAAAATGTTCAGTGGTTTTTGGATTTCATATGGGTACAGTGTTACATGACAGCGCAATTGTCATTCAAAGTGTGACAGCGCTTAAAGCTAGAAATTAGCCTGGGCAGGAAGGGGGTATAAGTGCCCTGTAGGCAAGTGGTTAAAAACAACCACATCGTCTTTTTCCAGAGCAGCCTGTATTTCTTTTGAGGCTGCCTGTGGGTTTTTCTTTGAATCCCGGACAATTCTTCTGTCAGTTATGGCTGCAATCTTTCTTGGTCTACCTGACCTTGGCTTGGTATCAAGAGATCCCCAAACTTTCCACTTCTTAATAGGTGATTTAACATTACTAATTGGCATATTCAAGGCTTTGGACATATTTTTAAGAGTGAACAAACTCATTGACTATTCATACACTGACACTAATTTCAATTTAAAAAGCCACAGATGTGGAACATGAACCTCTAATGGCATTTTAACCCGTGTGTGTCACCTTTTGTGTCTGTACCAAGGCTAAACATTCCAGGGTATGTAAACTTGATCATGGCCATTTGGGTGATTTCTGTTATCATTATGATTTAGAAAGGACCCAAACAACTATTTGATAATAAATGGCTTCATATGATCATCATCCTTCAATAAAAGAGCATTTTTTGGCATGATCAGTCATATTTTCTTGTTCAAACATTTTTATTAACAAACAACCATAATGACACAAACAAGGAGACTTTGTTAATGTACATTGGACATTGAAGTGGCAGAAGGACATAGAAAAAAAAAATGAATGAGGATCACATTACAAATGTCTATACTTTTCTAGCGGAAACAGGTACATAAGAGTTGACAACAGATGACATTATTGTCCCAGCCAGTCAGAGTAACGTCTCCCAAGTGCATTAAAGAAATGGGGAAGTTTGGATGGGGGTCAGACGGGGGTGGAAGGGAGGGAGGGAAGGGGAAGAGGAACAACAACGATGACTCCATGAGCATTCATCAAGTTTACAGCAGACCCCACGTGTTGCCTGTGAAGGGCTATTGACAGTATCCTTGGCGCACAGTATACAAATCAAGGGAGAAGGAGTGATTCATCAAAGTTAGGTGGGAGGAAGCGCTCTACCCAGGGGCTCCATATGCGCAAGAATTTATGAATCTTGTCTAGAATTGTGGCTTCCACCTTTGCATGTATCATGGCTTGTGTTATTCTGGTTTTGACAGCCGCAACACTTAGGATGGGGGATTTCCAGGATTTCGCTATAACCTGCTTAGCTGCCGTCGTAACTTGCATAAGGAGCTTGAATTGCGAGTTGGAAACGCCTGGGGGGCACTGATTGAGTAGGGCTGTTGTCGGGTCGTAGAGTGATAGTGCTAAGTGTAGATATCATGGTGAAAATTTAATCCCAAAAGACTCGGGCCACTGGGCATTCCCACCACATATGGAAGTGTGTTCCTGAGTCCGTACAGCCTCTAAAACAGTTGGGCGAGTAATTAGGGGTAAATTTTGTGATTCTTGCTGGGACCAAGTACCATATAATTTGTTTCCAAAGCTACAATGTTCTGCGAAGATGATTTTGTGTTGGCCCAAATGTGATCCCAATCAGATGGGTCGAGTTTCTTACCTAAATCCACTTCCCACTTATGAGTATACCGAGGGGAGGACGTGTTAATCGAAGTAGTGAAGAGTGAATATAAGCAAGAGATAAGCCCACGTCTATGAGGGTCTTTGTAACACGCTCGTTCGAAGAGAGACATGGCATCTGGCCGATTGGTTGTTGTAGTGTAGGGGGCGTAAAAGTGTTGTAGCTGCAAGTATCGAAATATCTCAGAAGCTGGGAGGCTATGCGTTTCCCGCAGCGAGGCAAAGGATTTAAACGTATTCCTCTGTGTGGGAAATGATGCGTGCGGAGCAAATTAGCAGAGGACCAGACTTTGAACAAAAGGGGTGTCTGCCAGGCCGGGGGAAAAGCTGGGTTTCGTAGAAACGAGAGCAGGGGATTATGTAGTGATTGGAGGAGATATCGGGTTTTCAGTTTATCCCATAAGGATAAAAACTGAGAAGTGATGGGGTTGGTTATAGAACGGCGGTCTATTGGCCTCAACCAGAGTAAGTTAGCTGTAGATAAGGGGTCACATTCTATCAATTCAAGTGCAACCCATTGAGGGATTTCAAAGGTTGCATGATATTTAGGTAATTGGGCTAAATGCGCTGCTTGATAGTATTTGCTGATGTCGGGTAAGTCTAGACCACCATTGAGCTTAGGACGCTATAGGGTGGAGCGAGGTATACGAGGACGAGTATCGCCCCATACATAGGAAAAAATGTGACGCTGCAGTGTGCGGAGGTAGTGAGGGGGGACTGGGAGGACTCTAAATAGATATAGAATTTTTGGGAGGATTGACATCTTGATAACTGCTATTCTGCCTAGCCATGCGAGGGGTAGGGAAGACCATTTGGTCAAAAGGGCAGAAAGATGGTTTAGCATCGGAAGATAGTTAGCTGCGTAAAGGTCTGATAACTTAGGGGTCAGTTTGATTCCCAAAAAAGGGATATGACACTGACCAAGGGAATGGTAAAATCTGCTTTAGATGCGTCAACTCTAAAGGGGGAAGAGAGATGTTGAGTGCTGTTGATTTATTGGGGTTTATTATTAAACCAGAGAGCGAGCCAAACGCCTCGAGAAGCCGGAGTAGGGAAGGAGAGGAAGTCAATGGAGATGTGAGAGAGCAAGACGTCATCCGCAAAGAGACATAACTTACAGTGGGGATCGAAAGTTTGGGCACCCCAGCTAAAAAGTTGTATTAATGTGCATAAAGAAGACAAGGAAAGATGGAAAAATCTCCAAAAGGCATCAAATTACAGATTAAACATTCTTATAATATGTCAACAAAAGTTAGATTTTATTTCCATCATTTACACTTTCAAAATAACAGAAAACAAAAAAATGGCATCTGCAAAAGTTTGGGCACCCTGCAGAATTTATAGCATGCACTGCCCCCTTTGCAAAGCTGAGACCTGCCAGTGTCATGGATTGTTCTCAATCATCGTCTGGGAAGACCAGGTGATGTCAAGCTCAAAGGTTTTAAATGCCCAGACTCATCTGACCTTGCCCCAACAATCAGCACCATGGGTTCTTCTAAGCAGTTGTCTAGAAAACTGAAACTAAAAATAGTTGACGCTCACAAAGCTGGAGAAGGCTATAAGAAGATAGCAAAGCGTTTTCAGATGTCAATATCCTCTGTTCAGAATGTAATTAAGAAATGGCAGTCATCAGGAACAGTGGAAGTTAAAGCAAGATCTGGAAGACCAAGAAAAATATCAGACAGAACAGCTCGCAGGATTGTGAGAAAAACAATTCAAAACCCACGTTTGACTGCAGGATCCCTCCAAAAAGATCTGGCAGACACTGGAGTTGTGGTACACTATTCCACTATAAAGAGATACTTGTACAAATATGGTCTTCATGGAAGAGTCATCAGAAGAAAACCTCTTCTACGTCCTCACCACAAAAATCATCGTTTGAACTTTGCAAATGAACATATAGACAAGCCTAACGCATTTTGGAAACAAGTTCTGTGGACCGATGAGGTTAAAATTGAACTTTTTGGCCGGAATGAGCAAAGGTACGTTTGGAGAAGAAGGGGCACAGAATTTAATGAAAAGAACCTCTGTCCAACTGTTAAGCATGGGGTTGGATCAATCATGCTTTGGGGTTGTGTTGCAGCCAGTGGCACAGGGAACATCTCACGAGTAGAAGGAAAAATGGATTCAATAAAATTTCAGCAAATTTTGGATGGTAACTTGATGCCATCTGTGAAAAAAGCTAAAGTTAAAGAGAGGATGGCTTCTACAAATGGATAATGATCCTAAACACACCTCAAAATCCACGGGGGTTACATCAAGAGGTGTAAACTGAAGGTTTTGCCATGGCCTTCACAATCTCCTGACCTCAACATAATTGAAAATCTATGGATAGACCTTAAAAGAGCAGTGCGTGACAGACAGCCCAGAAATCTCAAAGAACTTGAAGACCTTTGTAAGGAAGAATGGGCAAAGATACCTCAAACAAGAATTGAAAGACTCTTGGCTGGCTACAAAAAGCGTTTACAAGCTGTGATACTTGCCAAAGGGGGCAGTACAAGATATTAACTCTGCAGGGTGCCCAAACTTTTGCAGACACCATTTTTTTGTTTTCTGTTATTTTGAAAGTGTAAATGATGGAAATAAAATCTAACTTTTGTTGACATATTATAAGAATGTCTAATCTGTAATTTGATGCCTTTTGGAGATTTTTCCATCTTTCCTTGGCTTCTTTATGCACATTAATACAAATTTTTAGCTGGGGTGCCCAAACTTTCGATCCCCACTGTATGATGCGTGCCTCCTATCTCGAGTCCCCTGATATTCGGGTTAGCTCTGATTAAGAGGGCCAGAGGATCTATAGCCAGGGCAAAGAGCAAAGGGGACAGAGGGCAGCCCTGTCTCGTGCCTCTGGAGATCGGGAACTGAGCTGACCTGTGCCCCAGATACCTAATTCTGGCCGAGGACTCTCGATACAGCGAGAAAATCCAGGTTAAAAAGTGCGGGCCAAAACCCCAACGATGCAATATATAGCTGAGGTATGGCCATGAGACTGTATTGAATGCTTTCCGGATATCTAGGGACAGGAAACAGGTGGGAATATTGCGAGACCTGGCTAAATTCGCTAAAAGAGATGCACGCCTGATGTTATCTCCCGCTTGCCTAGTTGGGATAAAGCCCACTTGGTCGTTATGAATTAGAGAGCCAATACACAGGTTAAGACGTGAAGAGAGGATTTTGGCTAACAGTTTGATGTCAATGTTGAGGAGAGAGATTGGCCTATAATTGGACC